AGAGAGAAAGGCCCCCTTAATAAATTTACCTTTTTTTCTCCTTTACCCAAGTTAATGTGGAGTCAGTAATAGAGAGCTTTGTTTGGGAAATCTCAAGAGTACATTGCAAAGAAAATCGTTTCAATTTTTTTTATTTACTGCGAAAGGTATAAACCCTTAGTTTGCCTAGCGACAAAAATGTCAATTGATTTATCACTAGTGAAATCTTTGCTTTGGATATTGAAGTATTTACAAATAAGATTTCGTTAATTTTTGTCTTTTTTCTTCTCCCTTTCTTTGCTGGAGTCTTCATCCATAGGCTCTTCCTGGTCCTTAGTCTCGTCAGTGTCCTGTTGAGCCAGGGTCCCTATCACCTTCTGTATAGCTTCGCTGCTAGGATCCACGCCAGGTAACGTACTGAGGACGTTCTTGATGAAGTCCGGGTCAGACATGACGCCAGTAATGTCTTGGGTGTCATCTCCCTGTCATAAAACAAAGGTTGACACAAACCATTCACATAATCCAATACAGTCCATTTTGATTTAGGAGAGCAAAGTACCTACATTCCCGGCTCAATCGGATAATTTTGAAAATGGTGCATTCCCAGCGTTTTCCTCTCGCAATTTCAAATCTCCTGGTTTGCCTATCAATTTTTCAATGGTTGGTTTCATTCCCCCATCTCCACCTTCAAATCACAAGTGTTGTTGTTTCGTTCTCCGTGAAACTCGTAGCCACTCCATTCCTAAGATAACAACTAAAATTACCACTGGAAAACGAACTTAGAAATTCTGTAACAGCATTTCTCCGTCGATTACCGTTGAGTGGTTAGCATAATTCAGGGATATTGCATATTTCAAGAATGTCAAAATTTTAGTCGTATTGGTAAATTTCGTTTCCGGTTTCGAGCTTGACAGTACCTCTCTAGTTGCTAGTCGCGTTTACCGCAATAAATTGAGGAGATCAAACGCCATTCCTAACAAGACTACCGGCAAAAGGTAATATTAAAATAAGGTTTTCATTCAATGTTGGGCAGATACTTCACATTCTATGGAAAAAGAAAAATATAACAACCTGTCCATCTGTCTCCATTGCACTGGCTCCAGCTCGTTCTTCCTTCTCAGCCGGCTGTTCTGCCGTATCTTTGTCACCACCTGCTTCTGCGTCTGCCTCCATGTTTTGCAGCGACAGCCTCATGGCGTACTCAATCTGCTGTTCCTCGGTCATGGCACTGAAGTCAAATACTGGGGTTTGCGGAGTAGACATGGACAAAGCCTGCTGAAGCATTGCCTCCTCGCTGTCAGCGATGGGTGCTTCAGCGGTGGGAACCTCCTCTCCACTAGCTGCCGTGGCCCTGCGCGCTTCTTCCTCCTGTCGCTGTCGCTGTTCTTCCATGGATACACGAAGAGCCTAGAAAAAATATTTTCGCCTGGTTAACATAGAGTTTCTCTAACTTCCTGGTACATTTAGAGGGTTTAGTCAAGGAAAATTTGCATTGAGTCTTTGAGGTTCCTGAGGAGACCAGGTAAAAAAAAACAGTTCGTTAATATCCTCTTTGACTCAGAACAATAGATACCTAACGTTAGCGATCAATTATTTTACCTATCTATTCTTTTCCTACATTGCAAACCCTTGTTGACCATCAAGTTGATTTCTTTGAAACAAATATCTAAGACGAATATCTAGTTAGTGGCAATGAACAAAAGTTTACAGTTGTATCTCACCATGATGAAATTTCACGTCAGTAGACAACTTCATGACAGGAGTTTAAATCCGAAACCAAAGCACCCAAATAAACTTGATGTTATTCCATAACAATCTGGTATATTGTTGAAAATTATGTAAATTGCTTACAACAAATCAATTGATCAATCCGTAGATCTTTCTATCAATCACTCAGTTCATCAATTAAACCATCAATGCATAGCACCATCTTTTGATAGCAAACAAAAAAACTCCATTTACCAACTACAAACCAGCTAATCTTAAAACTGTTGTTAGCCCTCTTCACCCCAGTGGTAGGGCTGAAAATGCTTAGAAGAACCCTAATCACTAACCAATGCAAGTTCAGGATCAGAGTTAGGGTCAAAGCCATACTCTGAAGCGTACTCCATTCCAGCTGGGGCTCCATCTTCCCCTTGCAGAAGGGGGGACGAAATAAGCGCGTCTGAGAGCAGTGGGCCTGGTGGCACTGTGACCAAGTGACACAGGTTCCCATCCTTACCATTCAGTGTGTTTATGAATGATGTCAGCTTGTCAGAATTTGCAGTCTGAAGACAAAAAAAAAAATGTCCTCTAAACAACTCTAACAGAAAAACTGATGAATAGGAAAATTCATATTTGCATACTGAAACAAAGACAAGAAATAATTGGGATTGGAGGGTAGTTTGTTCATGGACATGGCTTCCTACTAACAAGATGAGTATGAAGGCTCAAGTAAATTGACTTACCAGTACCTGAAATTTTCATATTCTTTTACAAAACATTAATACAGCAGTTGTTGTGGTAGTTTTATTTCATATTGCACAGTTAAAAAATATAATGAACCAAAACCTGTCTCACTCTGATGAACAAACTTCACAATAACATCAAAGTGTGCACCTGAGTGAGGAAGCCCTGTATTTGCATATCAGGAAGTGAGTATTTTAATATTCCTTTTCGACCTTGCTCCTTTCCAATCAGTTACAAAAATAATCCTTCATCCCAGATAGAGCAGAGACAAGGGAAGGGTGAAATAGATTGGTGACACATGATCCTTGAACATGATGGATAATAATAACAACTATACTAACAATAACAATACCTCTTCGCCAAAGTTAACAATGTCCACATTCACTTTTTCTTTTTTCAGTTTCTTGGCAAGCTTCACAAGCTTGATGAAAAAAAAATTAAATGAAAAAATGCAATTTAGGATCATCTACATGTATATTAGAGATAAAAATCAGAATTATCAGACCACATTAAAAGGGTCTTTCATTTGTTGTGAATTCATTTAGATGGTGCCATACACCTTAGCTGTAACTACACTACACAGTAAGCCCTGGTATAACTTACAACTAACATTATGAAAACCAATACAACAGAAAAACCCTCCAGCCCAATAGTTACAAAATGGAAAGGATGTACATTCTTTTCCAATTGGTGAATCCTGCTGAGGGAAAAGCAAAGTGTATTTATTTTTCTTGGAGGTTACTATCTCAGCCTTGAAATTTAGTTGAGTAGTTTCCCTAGCACACTGCTTGCTCATTTAGTGAAAAGAACACAACACACAGCACTTACCTCTTTCTCATCAGTTTCTACAGGACTTCCAACAAACACAACAATCCTCATTTTGTGATTTTTACCTTGTCTATGTTTTAGAACCAACTAGTTGGGAAGAAATTGGAAAAGTAGCATATGAAAAGTGTAGCCTGAACCATATAATTGTCAAGACTTTTGAGCAATTTTCCTGTCTCATAAATTAATAACCACCACACATCATAACTTTCTGATTCATCAAAACAAAATTATGACTTAGAATAGTAACTTGGTAATACTCACATGAGCTATTTTGACAGCTGTGAGGAATTTGATATCTCCTTTTGACTGAACTTTGTGCAGGGAGGCCAGGATTTTTCCAACATCTGTTGTTAATGTAACAAGCACCTCTAAGCTGTGAGTAACAAGAGGGAGCTATTTGATTAAACTTTGAACAAAATGGGAATAATTAACAAATGACAACTAACAAAGGGTTAAGTCTCTAAAGAAACTGTGGTGATGTGTCATAAGGGGGTAATACAAGACAAATTGGTTTTATTTACTGGATTGTTAACATAAACCAGGCACTGTAAAGAGTTTATAAAGCTGAAGTTTTAAGTGTTGGCCCTTCAACAGAGCTTCAAGAAAACTATCAGAGCTTCATCTCAGCATGAATGCATAGTTAGGATGGACAGAATTCCCTGTAATTTAAGGAGTTTGTAGCCAAGAGCATTGAGAGAATGGCTTAAAATGTGAACCACCCAAACAGGAGTCTATTGGGATATTAGGAGGGAAAGGAAAGTGTGTGAGGGTATGCCCCTCCAGAAAGTTTTCTCATAGTTATGAGGCTCTGAAATGTTTTTCACATATTTTTTTTTAAGATACAGGGCATAAGTTGCAGCCAAATTAAAACATTGGCTGCCATTGTTCTCTTTTTATTTATACAATGGAACCTGTGTTTAGTGCTCACCCATGCTTATACATGTTTGACTGTATACAGAAAGATAAAGGTATACTAATGTAGGGAACATGATGACCAGATTTTTTCACGTTACCATGTTCCCACAATATCACAGCTCCATCTGTCTGTTTACAAACTACACACACGATTTTTCTATTCACTCTGACGAAGCTAACGCTCTAAACATCATCTACAGAGACTTTTTATAGGCGCCAACTTACACTACTAGTGCAGCTGTTAAAACCAAATTATCTGGTAATACCCTCACCGACACAGGACCGCAGTTTCTTTTGAAACTTAATCCTTCATTTAATGAAATCTAAGTTTTCATGTGAAAATGCAATTTAAGTTTGTACTCGAGTATCTTTAAATGACTTAATGGGTATGAAATCAGTATGAGTTACATACTCACCTGGCTAAAGTCATGAGACCAACATTATTTTCTGGGTTTTGTCTAGTTTTCGAGTGACAAACCAAGCTCACAGCATCTTGTTGTGCTTGAAGTCTCGTGGGAAGAAAATCGCCATTTCTCATCCACTCACTGTTATCAACGCTGTACAAAAAAAGCAATTACAACCAAGTTTTAAAATATCATTCCATCAATATCATATCACATGGAAAACTGGTAAAGAATCTCACCATACAACCGTGGATTCCAAAACCATCTTGATTTATCAAACTCTGTATCACTTTTTTCTCTGACTTGACTCGACAATTTTCTGCTGGATTTTCAGCTCATGCTCTCAGTGAGATGCTGCTGGCCGTTTGCCAACAAGATTGGTTGGTCAGCGGCTTTTCATTTACTTTGTTTACTTACACAAGTTTTCAAAGCGTCTATGGAGCTTTCGCGTCTGAAGAATTGTTTATTCTCTCTTTCAAGGCAGACGAAGCAAACGTTTCAGTCATGGAAAAGCTCTTCGAAAAAATTGGAGATCATTTCAACAATCCAGAAATGTCTGATCGCATTTTAGTCGTGAAGATTCGAAAAGATGGTTGGGAAAAGCTCGAAGCAGCACGCCGGGTTCGAAGTATCACGAAAACGAATTCTCAAGAGGGAAACGATGCGATTTCAGGGACAAATTTTTATCAAAAAGAAAGGCTGCATCTATCTACAAACAAAGAATCGATTGTTAGCACGTCTGAGCCAAAATGTGACACCGAATCTGCAGGTCCTGGTGACGACCCTGTAAACTCCGCTTCAGAATTAAGAACTGTTAGCAGCTTAAGCTGTGATTCCGGAATAAGCGACGTTACATTTTCTGAGACCAAAAAAACGGTTAAGAGTAAGAAAATAGAAGAATCCTCAATCAGGGGCGAGAAAGGACATAACCCAGTGAATCAAGATTCTGGAAATTGGCAAAATGCTGCAAATTCGAATGAAGATGCCGTCGTCTCTCCGACATCATCAGATGTAGATGTCACCATTAGCAAGTTGCTCATAGCAGACATTAGCTATACTCACAAAGCCGGTGCCATAGGTTTAACCGCTTTAAATACTGGCGACGAAAGCCCTTCAGCATCTGCCCCTTTACAATCGTCCAAAACCGGAACTGCAGAGGCCAGCGTAGAATATTTGACATTTACTGACACTGTCATCCGGGAACAGCAGCTGTATGTTCACAGCTTCTGGCTGGCTTTGAATAGTTCTTACTTTAGAAGCCTATTTTTTAGCTCAGGGATGAAGGAGACAAAAGTGAAAAAGGTATGATTCCTCTGACCTGACATATACATTTATTGGCTAATTTCTTGTTATTTCAACTGGCCTTAAGAGTGCCCAATGGCTTGACATTTTTTGTATACTTAGTAAAATTTGAACATACGTTTTTTCGTATGTACGTTTTTAAGAAACCTGAATTGAATTCATCGGAAACAAGTTATTTAATTAATTTTCAATTTAGAAAATATTTGCGTGGGTTGAATTAATTTTAAACTTTCATCTAAACAGGTTGAGATGAACATCAGCGAATCCTTGTCATCGATGTTCCTTCTGTTGATAGAATCACTGTATAAGCCTGAAGTTGTGATGCCAGAAAGTGTGGAAAATCTTCTTGTTCTTATGAGACTTGCTCATGTTTATGATGCAGAGAGCACACTCAAGGCTTGCCAGAAGTAAGATTTCAATTTCTCTGTTGTTGATTGACAGCCAATTTCTCCTTAAAAAAGAAACTCCTTATTTATTCCTTTGACATCCAACATTGACTAGCTTCTAATTTCTCCTCACAATATCACCCCTGAATTAACCATAAAGGTCCAAGAATAAAGAAAATGGTCAACAATCAATACCTCAGGAATTGTATAGAGAACAGTATGGAGAATATACACACTGATGTTAGGGTGTAAAGGGTTGACCAAGCAAACCGCTGATGAGAATGTATAATATTTTCACATCAATGAAGTTCATGTTGTAACTATTGAGACAAAACAGATGAGCTTCAGGCTGTTTTACTTGTTTGTAATTTCAGTTCACAGCGACTTCTTAATTTCCTTAGTTTCAAAAGGGGGTTGTGATTAGTATGGTTTTTCTTCCAAGTAAAGTTGTATAGTTTGGTATGGTTTTTCTTCCAAGTGTAAGTCTTCTCTTTGATACCATGAAAGAGTAATTACTTGAAATATTTAATAGAATTCTTTATTGTGTCCTTATTCTTTAGACTTCTTGGTTCAGCAGAATTGACAGTTGAGATCTGTGACAAATCCTTGAATATGCAAGAGCATGAAAGGTAATTCAAAGCTAAAGAAAAAGAAAATTTTAGGAACAACAGTTGCACAATTAGCTTTACAATGGCTTCTTTGTCTTTCATTTTGTAGCAATTTAGTTAGTTACTTCAAACAAGCTTTGAAAATTGAATGGTTCTTCTTTAGTTTTAGCATTGGCTTATTATTGGCTGGGAAAAAAGATGTGATTATAGTGAAAAACTAGTGTAATTGGGCATTTAAATGCTCTGCTGAGAGCCAATCAGGTTATAAGGATTACCAGCAATTGCAAATTGGATGTGATAAATTGATTTAGGAGAGAAATCTGGGTGGGATGAAAGTTTTAGTTTTAGGGTGAAAAATAAGTAGCCCACTTCCTTTTCCCGACCCTTCATCAGAATTATTTGATTTGTACTCTATCTTTTTAAACAAAGCACATGTTAATGACTTTATGATCCAAATTAGTGATGTAAACACTTAGTAACCTTTGGGCCCCTGAGAGTGACTAGCATCTAATTTCTCCTTACCCTATCACTCCTGAATCAAGTATTAATGTCAAAAGATTAAAAGAAATAATCACCAACTGAAGGAAATGGTGATTGTTAAACAAATTCTTCTAGTCAATACCTTAGAAAATGTAAAGAGGAAAGTATGGAGAATATGCTTACTGATGTTAGGGTGTAAAGGGTTAAATTCAACACAACTTCTCAATTGTTACTTTCAGACTCCCTGAGATGGCAGAATTTATCAGGCGATGTGAAGAATTCCTGGTTGAGGAATTCAGTCCATTAGACTCTCAATGGTCGAATGAACACTTTCTGTCTCTGAGTTCCAACGGTCTACAGAAAGGTATGTCAATAGCATGTTTGCTGTTTGTACAGGGGTTTATTCATGACAACTCTGTCACTAATGAGTTGCAAGAGTGCCAGAAAGAATACCAAAGAAAGCAACAATTTTTCAAAGGCAAACATAACACAAGATAGAGAAAAAACAATTGTTAGCAATGTAGTTAGTGATTAAATGCATTGCCAAAAGTAGCCTGTGAGCAGGCTTTCATTATTAGCTCTTTGGCACAAGCATTTATTCTTTGCCCACAGGAAAGCATGAGGCCTTAAGCAACCCAAGCTGGAGAGACCCCCAGCCAACCTCTCCCTGACTTGTTTTACATCTATGGGGGGGGAAGGGGTGGAAAAAGGTGTGTCTCTCAGGGCTAACAATGAGGGACTGCTCTCTGGCTATGCCAAAAGTGTATAACAGTGTCTAATACAGAGGATCACCAAAAAGTTTTTGAAATTTTGGAATGATTGAGGGTAGGATTTTGGTGGGAATATAAACATCTTGAAAGAATGGTTAGAATGGGAAATGATAACATCTGTTTTTTCATTGTTAGCGGAAGAAAAGAGAATGACAAATATAGATGGATTTCAGACAGAATAGATCATCTGAGTTTTCTGATATGTTTCATCGTTGTCTGAAGCATAGTTTATCAACTGATTGCTGTGAGACTAGTTATGTCTAATTTTCATTGAATTCTTTAGTTCTTTCCAGCCATGAGTTGTGTGTATCCTCAGAAAATACTGTGTTCCTTGCACTGATGAAATGGGCAGAGGTGAATGAAGTGTTTGATGATCAGCTTGAGCCCCTGTTGGAATTGGTTCGCTTCAAAGCCATGACCATTAATTACCTACATGATGTTGTTACCAGTGATCACCCAATTGCTTCTACAGTTGCTAAGTTTCAACTGATGTTTGAAGAGGCTGTTTTTTACCATGCATTTTCTAAGGTATGTGATATGATAAGCTGAATTATTTATTACCTATAAATAATGAATTACTTTTGATCTTTTGGGTACAGATGCATGGAGGAAATCATCATTAACAAATGTTGCTTTCTTTATCATGCAAAACAAAAAGATTCCATGTTGTGGTGGGTCTGTACAACAATAGCTCACAGAAGACATCAAATTGTTGAAAGAACATTATTGATACACTCAGCTTCACTTGATGCAATCTATTTGTTAACTATACTATTCATAGTGAAAACTCATGAATGTACTGCTGTTATTATACCATCAGTTATCTTGACAAGGTGACTCACTACTACTTATCAGCCAACATTTGGAAAGCTTTCTTTAACCCTTTACACCCTGAAATCAGTATGCATATTCTCCATTCTGTTCTCCATAAATTTCCTAAGGTGCTGATAAGGAGAATTTGTTTAACAATCAAGAGCTTCTTAAGTTGGTGATTGTTATGGTGTAATTCAGGGGTGATATAGTAAGAAGAAATTGGATGCTAGTCACTGTTAGTCAGTACGGTATTTGTCCACACCGCTTGCTTCAGATGCCAATATTTTAATCGTTAGGTTAACCTGTTCATTTAATCTCCCATTGTATGTTACTGAACGCGGCTGCAATGCGTTCAGACTTGAAAACATAAATGTTTTGCCAATATATTTTGTCAGGAGAGACAGTGTGAGGAGGGAGAGCCTGTTGGCAGGAAAGCTCATGATGATCCAGTGGTGTTTAACTGGACAGTGGACATTGGAGAAGATATTGAAGTAGAGAAGAAAAAGAAGATCATCAAATCACCGCATTTCTGGGTCAGCGGATACGAAATGTAAGCTGTCTACCGGCTTTTGGGGAAAATGATGCTTTGATTGGTAGTACAGTACCAACAAGTGGGCGGTAGATGTTCTAGAGCGGGAGAGAAACAAAGTGTTAGGAGAATGGAAATAGTCTGGAAAGAACGGTTTTGAGAGCTTTTTCAGTTATCTCTAAATAACATTTAAATTTGTTTCTATTGTAGCTTTGCTGAGATGTAATTGCCTTTTCAGGTTCCTTGAGCTGAAGCTGAGGACTTCCGGGTGTCAAGGCCTATATCTGACAATAAGCACACGTGACTTCCGCCACAGTAGCAAAGGATTCGTCAAACTTGCTTATTCTCTGACATCCAACTTTCCTAAGGCTACACGAGTAATCAACGAAGCGGACGTGTTTGATAGAGAAGGATCTGGCTGGGGATACGAAGAATTCTTTCCTTTAAGCTGGACTGAATTCAAAGATCAGTTGAAAAGAACTCCTCTTATAATAACATCTCAAGTCAGTCTTCTGGAATAGTGTAGAATTTGATCCAGTCCAATTTATTTTGATGTTGTTTCACCTTGTTCGCTTTTTCCAATCTTCATATTGTGAGGCAACTATTCTCTCTGAGTCGAACAGTGTGTTCCAGAGAAATGTGTTTTAAAGTATTTTGAAAATGGAATGAAACTGATGCGGGAGAGTGATAAGTCGAAAGGAAACTTCCAGAGAAGATTTGAGAAGACCCAGAAGTATTTTTGTTTTTTAAAGCCTTTCATAACTTTTGCAACACCCTTACACATCTTGCAACCTTTGTTACTTTGATTTTATATTTATTTATTTAATTATGTATAATTTTTGTTTATTTATGGTTATTTGTTTATGGATGTTTTTTTGGCGTCTTTGGAAGAGTCGTAGAGATTAAGATCAAACGATCTGTGATATTTGAACCCACAAAATGTAGAAACACAGATTTTGTGTTGTCATTCGAAATGACAGTGCCACTGATCCAGATTTTTCGGCGAAGGAAATGTAGATCATTACCAACGTTTCTCTTTGTCAGGATTTCACGTCGAGCGACCGAGTAAAGGTGTCGTGCAATCGCGCGGCACTGAGTATTTCGTCTTCGCGCGTTTCGTACATGCAATGTTAAAGAAATGAGCTGTGTGGACAATACTTTGTTAGTGAATGTTCTTGCATCAAGAACATTTGACATTGATCCGACAGCAGAAGCAAGATGAAGCAAAAACTAGAAACTATAATAAATCGACATTCCGTAGTGACTACCTCTAGCGACGGACTGTCTTATTATATTACTTGGAATCCAACCATCTGGTTTGCGATAGCCCAGGTTTTTCGCACTTGGTTTATCCAAGTGTGGGAAGTTGGAAGAGGACATCAGTTTTATTGTAAGTTGCTTCGATTTATTCAAGGACACGAGGTAAACTGAACTTCTCAGTTTTCCAAAAAAAATAATATTAAATAAGTTTGAACACAAAATAAATAAGATTTACAAATTAAAACTTGAATATCAAGCACATCTTGAGTTTGAAATCGAGCAAATCACACCACTTAATCTTGTTTTGCGTTTGAAACAAGAGTTTTCTTGAAAACATGAGGCATCTGATGATCACACAATGATGAGCCCATTTTTAAATCGCATTGTAGGCTGGCACGCAGATCTAAATAACTAAAAACCACGTAAAGGCAACATCAATTACTTTTAATACCATATCGGTCTGTATGAATATGCCCATTTGTTGGGGGTCAGAAACGGTTCTTGAGTTATCGCCAGTACGTGCAGAGGTGTTTTGTACGGAACGTCTGGTTGCCTAAACCACTTGGTGGTTGTGGTTTCTGATGGGGCAGAACCAGGTTTTCCTTCAAGATGAACGCGCGGAAACCGTCTATACCGGCTGTTATCATCTCCCTGGAGACCTTGGTAAGACGCCATATAGCACGAGCGAGGGTCATTATTTGTCTCCCATGTGATCAGATTGTTAGAGTAGTGCTGACATCTGTCGGGAAATGTTCGACGTCCAAGTCCCTGAAAGAAAATGAAGGTTTAAGGAACCAAACGACCAAAAAACGGATTAACAACAACAACAAAAAAAAAATGCACGGATTTATTTTTTCCATGGCGGCGCCACATCGATTAAAATACTAAACCGTTTCGGTGTCTTAGTACAATATCATGGAGTTGAGCTAATAAAGTTGATCAAGAGCGCTCTTTTTGACAGGTTGAATTCATGAGCGATCTTTTAGCGCATGGGTACCAAGTTTGACCGAAGTATGCCGTTTAAGTGTCGTATCTGTCCTTCTTAAGTCACGGTGTCTCTCTGGGAAAGAATCGTTGCATGCGTGCGCATTTGGGGAGCGCGAGAAAATGCGTTTACGCACGCGCAGAAGTTGCTCGCTCCTTTATTGTATACCGTACTATAAATATGGAGAACGATTTTACGAAGTAAAAGCTCTTTTTAAACCTGACTTTCCTATGAATATGATCGAAAAGTGATCGCGACTGCCTTACGTTTCCAAAGTACTCTCCCTGGTCTTGGAATGTATGTCTGTTATCGTGTGTTGAAAAAGCAAATCTTCTGAACGGGACCTATTGAAACGGAACCAAAACAAAAACAAAATCATCAAACAGCGTTCACTCCTGCATTACACCATCTTGAACTTTCATCAGATTTCATACACAAAATGTTTGATAATAGTACAATTAATCATTGATTTGAAGGTCGAAGAAGTTTTAAAGATATAAATAGTTAATCTTAATATTACCTCGTGTTTGCTGTTAAATCTCGTGGGAGGGGATGCCACCCTTCGTTCTTGTGGTTTAGTGACATCGAGCGTCCTAGGCCAGCCCCGCGTAGAAAACTGGGACAAAACATTAGAAAAAAACAACAGTGCAAGGTAAGTTTACATTAAAGCACCATTGGGAAAACTGGAGAAAAAAAGAGTCGGTTGCGTTGTGTCGTCCATGGTGAGACGTCAAATTGTGATGTTCTAGCGAAATCTAACATCTGTCGCATTCACATCTCCTCGAGATTTGGCGCCTCTGTCGCGATCTATTTAGTATGAATCACTCGTTTTTCATCTCCGGGTTATAGTAGCTTTTTATCCCAAACACGCTCTCAGTCAATAGACGCGAGAAAAGGAGCGGGCAATTGATAAAGCGTTTGTATTTGTCATAGAAACGCCTGCCCCTCCACTTTTCAGTGCGTCCTTTTTTGTCCCTTTGAGCTAATCGAAAGCCTGGCATATGCTTGATAAAGGTATTTTTTATCGTAAAATTTGAGCCCAAGGCCCAGGGACATCGGAGAAAGATGTCTTTTTGGCTGAAATTACTAATAACGATCTCCCTCTGGGGAGAAAGTCCCCATGCTTACCTCTCTAGTGATTGCTTTCCAGATCCCACCCTCCCAGTTTAATATTTTTCCGTCATGTCGCTGTAAGTGAGCACTATCCTCGTCTGGCGCGAGGTTGCCAGCTTTCGGAGGTTTCGACAGTTTATGACTAGAGCTATTGAAAAGTTTTTCGTCTTTTTCACAATTCTCTAGTTGGCAAAATATCTAGTTAGCCAGACCTAGTATGGCTTTGCATAGTTTGACAAATTCATTCAGCTGCTATTTTGACGACGAATCATGTTTATTTTTAAACATGAGGCTACTGAGGCCACAAATTTCCATAAATACAAAACCTTGTCACTTTCGTTTGTTTAAATAATTTGAGGCCTAAGTGAGTTTTTGTGTATATAATGACCTTCATTTAATTGCAAAACAACTTCTTGGCAGAAGATGACTTCTAAGTGAAGTGTGTCTACCTAGCGAGCCTTCTTTCGTTGATTGACTCGAATGCATAAATATTAACTTTTACATTCGGTGAAACCAGCCTATGAATAACAGATATAAAGAGCAGCGGCTTTCCTGACAAAGCCTTGTTCGTATCATAGTTTGCATGTTTCTTTGACTCTTGCGTGTGAAAACAAATCGACAGATAGTAGTTTGTGATTTACACACATATTCTCGAGTTATAACGTGTGTAAATTCAAATAATTTATACGATCTTCGTATCATTTTTTCTTGGGCTGTATTAAACAAATAAGTAACAAAGGAGTCTCCCCCAGCGGTTTATGTCAATTCAGTTTTGCACGGCGATCTAACAAAGGATTTTCACTTTACTCGACTCACCCAGTTTCCTTCTTTCTCCTTCGATGGAGCGAATGTTCGACCTTTTGCCATGTCCTCCTTTCATTCAATTTGAAAGCAATCTATCTTTTCATCTCTGAAACCCTCCCGCGGTTTGGAGGTTGACTATGGAGCATCTGTCAAGTAGATTGTTTTGAGTGAGTATCAATTCCCAAGTCGCTACGATGCCTTAGCAACCAGCCCGCTGACTACAAGTGATCGTCGTGACTTCTGACTAACCTTCAATGGCGGCCAAAATCACAAAATCTGCGCATGTATGAAGCGGTTCGGAATTTTGTCTATGGAAGGAGTTGGAAGTGCTCTTCGGAGTGTTATTTCTCGAGTAAAAGAAGTAACAGCAAAGCGGTCGAGTGTAAGGGTCGTCTTTTGTGTTCAGTGCAATGTCAGAAAATTAGCCATTTGAGGAAAAGCTTATGTTTAATTGAATTCAAATGACTTTCTCTTCTCAGGAGCTTCCTAAAACAGCTCCTCGTCTGGTTGCAGTCAGCAAGTTAAAGTCATTAGACTATGTTATTGAAGCTTATGACAATGGACAACGACATTTCGGCGAAAACTACGTGAGTGGATTTAGGAGGCTTAATTTATGGCTGGGGGGTGGTGCTCGGAGTGATCTCAGACCAATGTTACATCATCATCAACCAATAAAGCAATGGCACTTGAGTCAGCTGAGCAATTTTACCAATATATAACATTGATCAGACTTACCCAACATTTTATTTGGTATAAAAATTTCACATACCTTTTGAAACTCAGCTATTCAAACTAGTTGTGCAAGTGCATCACCTTTGCAATATTTGGATGTTCAGAATTAGAATTGCTTAGTAATTACCTTTTTTATTTTGTAACCTAACTTATAAAGGAAGTGGCCTTAGTACCCAAGAAAATAGCAAGAGAGACATGACCATATTTCATGCTTCTTCCTACTCTTTGCACTTTTATTACTTCCTGCAAGCTTTTACGCCAAAACATAGCACCCCAATGAGTTTCTCAAAAATGTTTAATTTAAGATGTTATTTTCATAGGTTAAAGAACTGATAGAAAAGTCAAAAGATGTAAAGGTATCCTGCAAGTTTATACTTGTTATGGTTTACTTAGTGTTCTCCCTTAGTTTAAGCACAACAGGTCAACAGAATTTCAAACTAGTAAAGTAATCTTTTTACCTGGTGATTTTTCAAGAGTTCAAAGCAATTTAAGGCAGAAATAAGAGTTATTAGAAGCAGTTAATTTTACCTGTTACCACCTGAAGAGGAGAAATTGTTAATTTTCCTATCTATAACCAATATCTCCATCTGTTTTTACCTTTGGTACATACTTCTGGTAGTATCACTGCTGTGGTATTGGTAACATTTGGTATTCTTTTCTAGGCATAGGACAATTATGCTAGTCCTGGTCATATGGTGCTAAGGGGAATCTGAAATTTTTTCAGTGAAGTCTGACTTGGAACCATTGATGTATTTTACACAGAGTTACAATGATTTACACAATGATAAACAAACCCTTTCCTAAATCATCTCACAAAATGACTTTCTTATTTTCCCTTCATGTGTATGACAGATTCAGCCACTTAATGACATAAGGTGGCATTTTATTGGTCATTTGCAGAGTAACAAATGCAATAACCTTGTTGGTAAGGATTGAAACACTTTGCTAACTATTTTAGTGTTACTGCAAATGGTCTGAAGCTGGGGGATCATTTGATCTTGTAGTTGGATAGAAACTGGCTAATCACGGCTGACTTGTACTGCTTGAGACTTATAGCCAATAACTTCAAGGTTAAACTGACCAATCAGTTTACACAAACCAGATTTATAACACTCAACTGACAACAACTCCTCACTTGACACTGATGATTACAACAAGTTTTCAAAGTATCAGTCACCACTAACAAGTGATCAAGTGATGGTGTTTCTTAGCACTACCCTCACCCTGATGATCAGACTACATGATCATATCTTAAAGTTTATTAATGTTCTGAATATTCACTTTTGGGAAACAATTGCCATGATTATCTATATTGGCTCTAGTTGTTGTCCATTTACTGTATATTACTATCAACCGTTTCACTTCCAAGATCTTATTATGACATGAATCTCATTATAACATGAATATCATAATATTATTGTTATCAATATTTCATTAACATGTAATTCTCCTCATTATCTATTGTGCATGTGTATTTTCTATGTTGTTAACTTTTAGTATTTAATCAGTTTGTGTCCCCTAGTTGAGATGTGTTCCTTGTTTTCATCACCAGTCAGCATGATGTGTATTGATATTGTATGGAGAATTTTGTTTATCTGTTCATCCTGAGATTGAAAGACTTGCATGAAGTCAATTCAAACTATGTTTATTGGGACCATTTTGGCTTTCTCTAATATAGGAGTGCCAAACCTTTTCATGGTGGAGACTGTGGACAGTGTGAAGCTTGCCAACTCTCTTAATGTTTCCTGGGGAAAACTAAACAAACCCAGTCCTCTTAATGTTATGGTACAAGTTAACACAAGCAAAGAAGAAAGTAAGTGCTACTGTTTCTCAGCCTAAGATGAAGATCAATTGTTGTGTTTCTACTTGCAAGTTTGCAAACTCAGTACTACTCACTAACACTTTTAAGAAGCCAAGTTAGTTAGATATTTAATGTATATTTAATGTTCAAACTTTTGAATTAAGCAGGCAGTACAGTGAAATAAATGGGCCAATCATTGTAAACATTCTTACTGAGAGATATGATAATTATGTTTATATCCACTGGTGCAGTATTTAACAAAAACTTGTTGGCCGAAAAAGGATGCCAACAATAAAAAAAATGAAAACTTAAAGATGGCATTTTACATTTGCCCTGTTATGAAATGGCAGTACAGTTGAATAATATGGTATCTTCTCTTCAGGTAAGAGTGGATGTTTACGTGATCGATGTGCAGAGCTTGTGGAACACATTATCACCCACTGTGCGCACTTAAAGTTTTCAGGACTGATGACCATTGGGGAAATGAATCATGACTGGAGTCAACGTCCCAATCCTGATTTCACTGTAAGCAGATTGTGAAACTGTCTTTCTTTTGTTTTTATTGATCAATAAGTGAGAAAGAGTGCAAAACATGAACTGGTTAATGTAATGGAGCATTTTTGTTTGTTTGTTTGTTTGTGTGATTCTTTTTCCCTCAATGGAATGCATTACAACATACATTACAATTTTGTTTGATGCAATAAACACATTTTTCATTGTTGATGCAATCATTGTGAGATGTAGAAATGGAGTCTACTTTAATCAATGATACAACATCGTAAAACAACATGCAACACATAATTGTTAGGAAAGTTACACTAGATAATTGAGTGAACAGTTTTTTCTCCATGAAGTGTTGAAACAAAACTGGTTATAACCCTACCTTCAACCTAAACACAATGAGGCCTCAATATCCTTGTTTAATGATTAAGCTGGCTGTACTGAACAAGTTCTTAGATCAATAGTATGACTGGTCAAGCTCTTAAGGTGGAGTTCTAAATAGTCCTGTAGATTGAAATTACAGAGGATAACTGAATGCAGTTATAATGCATAATTATTAAAATAACCAAGTAGAGTTATTTTGCATGCTCAAGGTAAGTCTCTTTAACTTCAGTATATTGATTTCTTTTCAGACTTTGGTTGACTGTCGCAAGGATATTTGTGAGAAACTAAGTCTTAGCCTTGAGAATGTTGAATTGAGTATGGGAATGTCAAGTGATTTTGAGGAAGCTGTAAGTGAAGGCATATTATTGTGTCATGATTCATTGGTTAACCCTTAACATGCTTAACACCTTAACATCAGTATGCATATTCTCCATACTGTTTTCAATACATTTCCCATGGTGCAGACAAGGGATTTTGTTTAACATTCAATAGCTTCTTTAGTTGTTGATCATATTCTTTATTCTTGTGATCTTTGTTTGATTCAAGGGTGATACTGTGAGGAGAAATTAGATGCTAGGCACTCTTATGGGTTGGAGGGTTAAATTGAAGTGGTTTCCTTATGCTGATTGCGTAAACTTTCTCTTTTAATTTGTCAGATTTTAATGGGAAGTACAAATGTTCGAGTGGGTAGTACCATATTTGGTGCAAGGCAACCCAAACAGGCAAGCAATGTTTCTTCAATGCAGGGGAGCACTCAGCTTACCTCACAGGAGGCAAATTTATCTGATGCATCACAACAGAATGTTACCAAGGATGGCTTACCAAACCTGGCCGCATTGAACACAGACAATTCAACTGATAGAGATTCACACACTGCACTCAACAGTACTACATAACAACACCACCGTTTTCATCTTTTTTGATCTTCTTCAACCTTGAACACTAGACGAGTTTCCCTCAATTGGAAGATCGATATTTTGTTGAGATATTTAAAAAATGTTTGAATCGGAAGCAAACTCAGTGGTTGGAGGTGAATTCTTCCTGTGTTCGTGTCAACATTCAAGTGCTATATCCTGATGTTGAAATGCTGTGAGAAGAAAATTCCAAATTCAATTTGTAGCACAGATTGATTCCTTAACATTTGCTTATATTAAACTTGAAGCTATACTAGCTTATGTAATACTGAAGACACATCATCATGAGTAACTTATTTAAGAATTGCCATGAAAAGGCGGTCGAAGGGACTTACTTAGTTTTATGTTGACTTTGCCTTCTATGTGTACGTATAAAGATGGGGAAATGGGTTTTAGCTGGTTATAAGAAATTCATTTTCAACTACTTGCCGACCTTTTCTTGCCACTAATGGTTTCGATGCCGGTTTAAAAATGGGAGAAAGAAGTTTTAAGTTTTTGTCTCGTTATATTAACGTATTTTCGCCGAAGCACTGAGAAAAGTAAAATTATAACTATACACGGCTTTCAGTGGTTTGTTAATAAATGATTACGGAGTCACCAATTCATCCTCAAAGGTTTTTTATCAAAACTATGTCCCACGTGTTATTTATTACTTACGTAAAAACAGCCTTTGTTTTTTAATGAACAGAGGTTTGCGAAAAATTTCCCCGAAATTACCGAGGCTTTCTAAGAATACGTAAATTACAATATCCTTTTAGACAATACTTGGCGTCGTTAAAGTCGCCGAAGTTACTCACGACGTGGAAATATGCTTTTAAAATCTTGATTTTCCCGTATTCTTCCGTATCTCGCTCACAAATTATCCTCTTGCAAACCTCGATTGCATTCAAAAAACTGGTTACGATGGGCGCCTAAGGTTCAGAAGGTTCATTCATATTTTTGTTTTTCTTGGGACAAACCGGAAGCTTTTTGTTAATTATGCATGAAAGACATAAAAGGGAAAAAACCCTTTTCCCGGAAGCAAATATTCGGTTTCCCCGAATGACCAACTATCATTTCATTGGATAGCGGTCCATATATGAATGCAATCAAACTGGTTTTTCCCGGAAAACTCAGTGTGTTTCGATTAGATCAGTTTTATTTCAAAGGTTTATGATGTTCGTGTTTTCGCATTGATACTGTTTGAAACAACTGTGGTCTTTACATCTGGCTGGGAGCTCTTAGTCCTTGCTTGAAACTGGTATCATCAAGGAACGAAAGGTAATTTTTATCGAACTCGATTGACTTGGATCACATTGTAAACATTTACCTGTCTTTGATTTGATTCGGCGCGCATACGAGACTTAAAACAAAAAGAAAGGTGTTGTATGATGTCTCGGGGAAAGGGCCGTTGCAGTGAAAAAAGGGCAAATTCTAATTTATTTGTCGCCTATGAAGAAACGAACGGGGTCGTTAGAAGCACGATTGCTTACACGGAAGTCAAAAGGAAAGCTGATGAAGCATTATTCAATACCATGCGGTTGAAATTTTCGAGATTTATCGATGGTTTGAGAATTTTCGATGGTTTTGTGAACGAGATTATGATTCTTCAGCGACCTGAAAGCGATTGTGTGTATATTTTGCTTTCTATTTTCTCCGGTGGTGCTTCTGTACGTTGTCCCCAAGCAAACCCCCTCAGTTGCGGAAATGCAAAGCAGGAGAGAGAGAAATCCTTTAAGAAAGGATGCTAGATTTGGCGTTAGGTCTGTCTACAGGCGAATAGTTTCGCTTGAGTCTTCACTTGACTGCATTAGTTCGCTTCACTTCAAGCGAGTGAAATTCATAACGATTCGATTGCATAATGTCTCCTTCTCGGGTGAGAATGGCAGTCGTCACGATAACGTGCGTATGCCAGAGACGGGTCTGTAGCTGCAGGTTGCTGGCTCCATACCTCTAGTGACATACTCCGTAAATTTGTTCTCCCTTTTTCACTTTCTTGACCAAATGTTATGTTGTTTCTAATGTGTCTAATGTCACGCGATGTTGTAATTCCAAGAAAATCGCAAAACTCGTTAAAAAATTGTCAAATTCAAGAAAATAAGATCAATAATTCTAATTTAAATTAATCATTTCACAAATTCAACGTCACTTTAAGGTAAGTAAGCTAAAAAAAAGTCTTTCAAGACTTTGTAAGCTTTGATAGCGGTTGTGCAGCCATTTTGAGCGTTCTAGAGACATGAACGCTGTACAGACAGCGATCAACTTTACGTTGTATCACTCAAAGTGTTCTTATTTACATTTCTATTTTCGTCAGTCACTGTCACGGGACAAAGTCTAGGGACTTTACCTCCCTAAAATAAACTTTGAACAACCTCTGAAGCATTTCCTGTGAATATGGTATTGTTTATGTAATTTATCGCACATTGCCCCACTTTATATCGCGTATTTAATTCTGCTCCGGATCAGTCACATTTGCCTTTACACCTCACCGTTTTATTACACAGCCTAAAATTACTTCAGGCAACTTGTATAACGCATGGAGATGGCATCAAGTGAAATGATTTTAAAAGACAAGTGAAACCATGTGTCGCTAAGTGATGCCTCTTGTTTTCTTGTTTACCGATACATACTGCTGATAAGGATGTGAAGAAGTCATCCACTAACTTTATTTACAGCTGGTCAGTGTAATTTCATGTACTGAAGGAAAGGCGATTTAATCTAATCTTAAAGGTTAATGTTTCTAATTTACATTTGAAATCTGAATCATTTGTTCCAAGAGTTTTACATTAACCTTTTCTTTTACTAATGTTAAATCACAGGGTCAAAGTAATTCGTGAAGCATAATAATGTTCAAGATACTTATCTGCTCTACTCATTTTCAGCTAAACATGGTCAAGTAAAAAAAGTGCTGGCTTCAAAAGGTTCTGAAATATCTTTAACTGACTGAGGAAATCGAGACACTCCATGGAAGACTTTGTGGGGAACCGGAGCTATAGAAGTGGTGGTGGCAGGGGAGCTAGAGGTGGCAGAGGACGTCCTTGGAGAGGCGGTAGAGGGGGTGCAAGGGGAGGGGGCAGAGGAGGGCGTGGTGCTTATGGTGATACGGAAACACGCCGTCCGATAAGGCTTGGATTCAAAGCACTAAAAGACTTACAGAGCAAGACTCCAGATGAAATTGTCCTCGATTTGACATCAAGTCGATGCTTCCCGGCCTCTGAATTTTTATTGAAAGAGCAGTCTCCAATGACAGATGACGTTATTGTCTTGATTGTAAGCATTCTTAGCAAAGCATGCGATTGCAGCTCGAAGGAGTACCTTATTAAGCTGCTTAACCTACTGCCAGGGTCTTTATTTCTCAACTTACATTTAAGACAACATCTCAACAGCTTGTCCGCAAGCAGAAGGTCACCTTCTGACGTAACAGAGTTTTTAAAAAATGTGATAAAAGTAATGAATGAACTGTTACGAAGATTCCCAAATGCATACGCCGATTTACCAATACCCGATCTGTACTGTGGAGCTATGGTATTGTCCGAAACAGGAAATTTGGAAGACGCAAACCTGATGAATGAAGTAGGTGAACTGATGAAATTGAAAACAGAGAAGGCTTCCGAACTGAAAAGAAAGGATGAAGAGAGGCGACAAGGCAGAGGAAGAGTACGGAGAAATGGTGAGAGATGCGTAGTTTAATCGCAAAAGAGTAAAATATTCTTTATGCTGATTGTCATTTTTTTAATTTCTAGCCGGTGAGAACGATGACTTAAACCCGCCCGATGATTTCCGACATCTCAGTGTTATTCCGACTCAGGAAGACATTTTGACTGGAGAGAGACCCTTCCTCAGAAGGAACAAAGTCGACGGGAGCTATCACGATGCGGAACATTATTTGGATGTGCAATTTCGGCTCCTTCGTGAAGACTTCGTGAGACCCCTTCGTGAAGGGATTGCCAAGTTATTAGAACGTATTGGCTCCGCTAAGATTGGTGCTCTACAGGACATACGGGTGTATAAAGACGTCCAGTTGCTGTACCCCGTATGTACCTCGAACGGACTCCAGTACAAAGTAAAGTTTGACAACACAAATCTAAGGAAAATACGTTGGGAAAACAGCAAGCGGCTTATCTTTGGCTCACTGATGTGTCTATCTAAGGACAAGTTTGACAGTTTTGTGTTTGCAACCGTGGCCAATCGAGATCTCAAAGATTTAAAACAGGTGACTGAATTTAGTATCTCATGTTTGGTAGACATCATATATCATGTAACTCAGCCAATCAGAATGGCACCCTCATCATCATCATCGTCTATCATAGTATATCAAATCTGATTGGTTCTCTCATCGAAGTCTATCAAAATTCTGTTAATCTTTTATCCAGTAGTAACTGCTTGTTTTTCTGTAGGGTATAGTAGATATTCAATTCATCAAACTATCTGATAATGTGAGACTTGGAGAGGGTGAAGTGTATCAGATGGTAGAGAGTACTGTGTACTTTGAAGCATATCGTCATATCCTTGAGGGGTTAAAAGAAGTTCAGCCACATCAGCTGCCCTTACAGGTAACGTATGATCACATGATAAAATATCTTATTATCATTATGGTTTCTTACGCTGTAGTTCAGGATTTGTATGTCAAACACGAAGATCAGAGGAAAGAAAGTGAATTGATGATAAGTAGCACTGTCAGTTACCTGTTGCAATCCTTTTCATAAATCAGTCTATTTTTCAAGCATTTTTCCCCATACTCTGGGAATTCTTGTCATCTGTCGTTCATCAATTACGCTACAAGAAAGTGTCCTAAAATCCTGTGATGTTACTGCCTTCACTGACTGTCCCTCTCGTGCTTAAGCTACGTCAAAACAGCATCATGGTGAAAAATGCTTCTAGAGAAATTAATATAAACATAGTCCTTCACGATCTCGATACTTCGTTGTAATTTTCATGATAGCGTCAACAAAACTGTTTCTTTTTCCTTTGCTTCAACGCAGAGATACATCGTTAATTGTCAAAAACATGTTGAGGCACCGGCTTACCTGAGAAACAGGTTAAGAGATCGAGTGACATTTGATCTGACGCCGATTATGAAGAAAGGAAGCAACAGTGGCAGCACTGGAAGGTATTATGTTAGACTGAGAAACAAGTTAGTGTTTATTAAAGTACATTGATGAGGAGGGCCAACAAATGGACTGAATTGAGACTGGTGGTGCTTGTGAAGGGGAGATGACGAGTCTCAGGAGAGAGGTGCATTGTGGATATTGTCACTAATTGGCTAAGTTCTAAAGACCACATTGACGACCATTAAGAATAGGAGCTTTTAGAGCTTTTTTTCTACAGTTATCTTGATCGATTCTTGATGGCAAAACCTAGATGGTAAAAGATCCGTAATACGACATTGATGCAAAGTGAGGGAACACTGCGGACATTGCTAGTTTTGATGACCAATCGAGATTCTTTGACATATAAGAAAGTAGCTGGTAAAATTAATACATGCCCCTCTATTTGAAAAGTAAACTATACCGATTACTTTTTTTTTTACAGCAGGATTTCTTTAAGCGAAATGAGGGCACGACTAGCGGGCTTGAGTGTGAGGGATGACATGCGTAGAGGTTAGTCTGCTGTTTCATACTGATGTACAAAAATAAGGCGTTATCAGCTGTATGCTGTCCTTTGTATTTTCTAACATTGGTATACAAACACAATTTACCATGAATTCCTTTATTTTGAATCGTAGGAACTGATGTGCCACTTCTGCACCTTGCTCACTGGCCATCAGCCGATGATCTGGAACTAGATGACTCTCAGTACAGGGCTTTGCAGATGGCGCTGACCAAAGAATTTGCGGTTATTCAAGGACCACCGGGCACTGGAAAGACGTATATCGGTCTGAAGGTAGAGTAACCCTTTTGAACTGTTATCGAGTCCTCGACTGAATTTCTTATTTTTTTCTTGTCATAAAGTTGTTCTTTAGCCGTGTGTGATTAACCATGAAAAGGGCAACTCTAGACATGACCAAAACCAAATCAATAACAACAACAACAACAACTGAACACAATAAAACTCTCCCTAGAGACCTAATTCATTTGGTCATACTTCAATCAAATTAATTTCTGCTTTAAACAAACCATAGTAACTGCAAGTCGTATCAATAACAATGAAGACTCACAGAAAATATGTTTAGCCCGGATTAGACGCCCCAATATTCATTTTTGATTGTGGTTTAACGTTTGGTTCAATTGTTCATTTTAGATCGCTAATGTTTTGTTGCACAACAAGTTGAAGTGGGACACTGGTACTGAATTTCTTGATGACGAACGTGACGTTGCCCCTCTGGTGTCGGAGCGTCGCCCATTTCTTGTTGTCTGTTACACAAACCACGCACTGGACCAGTTTCTGGAAGGGATCCACAAGTTTCATTCTGAGGGGATTGTGCGGATTGGAGGTCGAAGTCAGAGTGAGATTATGAAGGCGTGTAGTCTGTCAGAGTTGAAACATCGCATGCATAAGGTGAAGATCCAACATATGGCGGAATCTTGTGATTGTTTTTCTTGTCTGCGTAGTTGTGGTGAAGTGAGCAGTGGTGCATCGTTTCCGATCGTTTGTTTAATCAGTCGCTTAGTTCCAGAAAATCAATTACGTCGCTCAACTCATGATATTCGTCACTTAGGATATGTAGGTGAACACTAACTTTACAAATGTGGATAACCCAACCAAGCATTTTTGACACCTGCGACATTGACGCAATTACACTTGCTGAGCGTGAAATGCTTTCTTACTGCTTTGGAATAAAATGGAAACACTAACACCCTTATTTTTTTTTCTTTACTGTGTACCGGTCAGGATAAAAAAGCTCCTTTGCACATCAGAAGGGCTTACTACGATGCTCATCAAGAAATGGATCACACCACGACAAAGCTGCAAGGGGCTGCTGAGGATCTGAAGAAATGCTATGAAAACGTGCTGCACGAAGACGCCCTGCATCAACGCGTCCCCAGCATGACCGGTGCACATTACGATTCTTTAAGACAAGTTTTTGCGGGTAGAGGCGGACACAAGGAAAGCGCCATGTTGTATTGGCTGCAGCTATCTCTTAACGCGGATCCTGGACAAGGAGGTAACGACATTTTGAGTTACTTTCGAGTTTGCATGTGGAAACAGAGCCCTTTTCGCTACCGCAACTGTAGCGACATTTAGAAAATGCTCACTGTTATCGTGTAAACATCGATGAACATGTAGTCGCTATTGTAAAGGTTTCATTGATAGGTTCAAGGATTGTATTCTATTAGGCTCACAATAATATGAAATACGAGATAGTATTGGCGTTAGAACGAATCCCAACATTAGTTGTTAATTTTAGAGAGTAAAATGCCAAAATTAGCTCTAAAGATGCAGTGAAATTCAGAATACTTTCAACATATGTTACTTTATTTCTTTCCTCAGCTTTACAGCCCGTTGCTTTTCTCCCGCTCAACAAGCAAAGCGCTGGACTGGAACTAGTTTCTCGGGCTAATTTAGCCATCCTTAATAACGTCACATGGTCCTCGGGTGAGAATGGTTCCTTGCAACTGTCAGGAGCACCTAACTCATTTGTGATGATTCCAAACCATCCCGGAAGTGACCTAGACACCAGAACGTCAATCACGCTTCTGTTGCACGTGTTCCCAACCGGAAACAGAGGATCAATCCTGAGTTTTCACGAGGATGGCTTGGGACTCCAAATTAGTCAAGAAGGCGTAATCGATGGGAAAGGAATCCTCTCAGCACGGTTTGTGCGGAGAGACATAACTCATCCGCCCGCTCTTGCGAAAGCTGTGTTTAATATGAATTCATGGAACTTCATTGGAGCATCTTATGATCATGAAACCGGCATCGCACGCTTATGGCATGATGGGAACGAAGTGGAAGCTAAGTATCTTGGCAGGAAACAGGAACTTGCAACTCAGTTTTGTATCAGGATTGGAGCCTTAGAAAACGCTGGAAATGCACGATGCTTTCGAGGAAGAGTCGCGAATCTTCGCATATTTGCAGAACCCCTCGGAAAGGAAAGTATTATGACTATTGGTGGAATTGTCGCGCAAGGTAAATTGGATTTGTTTTGACTTCATTAGAACGAGAAGATAAATCTTTGCATCTGAACTTCAACTTGCTTTTCCCAAAGCTTTCCTGATACTGGTCGAATAGCCCATTCTGCCAGGACGTATTCCGGTTCCATAGCTAGAGGTTTGGACTGATTGTTACTCTTCTTGGATGGGATGCTGTTCCATCACTAGTTACCCCCAGCATTCCTTCGTGTTTCCCAGACAGCTTGTTGATGGCCCTTTATATTATTGGACGGGGGGAGCCAAGCATCTCGCCGAAGTGCTCATAGTAACCTTTCCAGGGCCAAACCCGGCTTCTCGATCCACATTCCTATGCGATAACAGCAGACCATCTCTTAGCAAGTTTATTGATTAATACTCAAAAATGTCAACAGGGTCTGCACTTCCAGAATCGCATGTGGTTGCGGAGCTTGGTGGCGAAAGGCCAACCTTAAACACTTTTGTAAGAACAGGGGTATATTTTCCTTTTTGTTCTATGTTTAGATGGAGCAAGAGCAGGAGCAGGAGCAGAAGCAGAAGCAGAGGAAGTAGAGGAGGAAGAAGAGGAAAATGAAAACCCAGATGTGTTGTATGAAGCGGATGTTATGCAGGGCCAGAGGGTCCTAGACATTGATGACATCAGAGTGTACGGTTCCAAAGTAATGCCGGGAAGTGGAAATTTGAAAGTCGCGGACCCGTTTGCTTTCACCAAAGGAGCTGAAGGAGGGTGGCAAATTCAGAATCCTGAAAAACTTAAAAAGAAATTGAAAAGGACTATGGTTCTCGAACTGAGCAGGAAAGATGTCATGCAAGCTGCGACAGCGAAAGCGGTGAGAATTTTCGCTCTCGATCAGTCTGAGTTGATATTCATCAGAGACCAAGAAGACGTGGTCATTGTTATAGCACTTTTTGATTGAGTGTCGTACAACCAAATCCAAAGTAATTACAACGGCCAATCAGGAGAAGGGAAAATACTCTGAAGAGCCAATGAGAGAACTCAAATTAAAAAACAGAAAACTATTCAAAGCGCAGGAAAACGGGGGCTATCAACTCGTGATTAGTGTTAGTTTTGCATCTGATTTGTTGATGGAGTGGCGCGATTTTTTTGGGCCAATCTCAGAGCAAAGTAAAGGAAACCCGATGTAATCCCGAAATACTTTAGACACTCAATTGATTTCTTCGCCCTATGACTAATTTAAATATATGGCAAACACCAAATTAATATACCCAGTTAAGAGTGAATTGCTATATCAGCTTTGGCCTGCTCTTGAAGTTTGTTTCTAGACTTTATCGATGAGAACTTCGATTGCAATGGATGCACTGATCTAAAAATAATATTTTGACTATTATTGAGCATTTTCAGAGAGCTAAACAGTCAGGGAACTTAGTAAATATAACATAACACTCATCAACCAGGTATAAAGAAATAACGAGGCTGAGTTGAAAAACTTATCTGTTGTTGATTAACCCAGGTTCAAAATGTCTGGAGTTTGCGCCTGAAAGATCGTTGGCGCCTGTATCGCCGATGGCTGACGGATCTGGCGGAGGGTTACCGTCGCACTATCTCAATGTTCCAAGAGAAATTTGAAGAAGGAGCCAAGCGACTGAAGGATGTAAGAAACATGGAAGATTTTGAGATACTCAAGAACGCTGATGTCGTGGGCATGACAACTACAGGTGAGTTGTATGGCTTTTGCTAGTAATTAATCCAGTGATACACAGTTGTGCTTAGAGAAAGACTGTGCAACAATAAGCAATTATTGGATGAAGTGGGCATGATATCATGAATTATCAATGCCGAAGTTTGAGTTATCTGCCGAATCCGATGGCTTTATTCGTGATATCACACGAAAACCGAATACAATGATTGTTTTATTATACATTTTTTTTTTTAGTTTGCAGTAGTTTGAGATTACTAAACGGATAAGGGGCTTAGAAACTAGTCAGACATTGAACTCGACATGATAACCCAATATCTGCTGCAGAAATTGGGTTATCATGTCAACTTCACACGCTAGTTTATATTGATTATATACTCTTAACCAATCATAGTTTTCATAGTAAGTCTAGTGCATAATAATTTCAGATGCAAGTTAACGACTTCGTCGAATACTTTGTGTCTGTGGTTTCGGTACTGAGCATTGTGTTTTTGTATATATATAGATAATATGTATATAAATAACGAATGCCTGAGGAAGAAAGAAAAAAAGCATCATAATAATTCAATAGGTGTAATTTTCCAAGGACATTGACTTAAGGCTGCAGTAAGATATTGCTGAGATTGCGGTAACATTTTGAATAAGTGAAGGTAACCTTAGCATCTATGGAGCAGATTTTTAGTTTAATTATAGCCATGCAAAAATAGTCTATATGTAGTTTATCTTATTACGAATAAGGTAACAAGTGACGAATGGATCTTCACTGGTTAACAGCTATCTTCCATTTCTTATGTATTAACGAACGTTGGCTGCGTCAAGGAAAACTTGTAATACTTCCACAAGATTTTTCCCAGCACTCTCTGAGTAAGCCTTACTTATTCGCAGCAGTTTTCAAAGGTCACCAGTATGCGAGGGTGACGTTATGATAAAATTAGATTATTGTGAATATCATGTAGACATGTACTGATGGTGTGACCTTGTATTTCAGGCGCTGCAAAGTATCGTAAACTTTTGCAAAGACTGCGTCCACGTATAACTATTGTAGAAGAAGCCGCTGAAGTATTGGAGTCACACATTGTCACATCGCTAACTCCCGGATGCCAACACTTGATTCTGATTGGTGATCATCAGCAGCTCCGCCCCAACCCTACGGTTTACGAACTCGCCAAGGATTACAATTTGGACGTGTCACTCTTCGAGAGAATGGTGAAGAATGGAATGCCCTATGAACGATTACGATTACAGCATCGAATGAGACCTGAAATTTCTAAAATGCTGGAGCATATCTACTTCAGTCCAAAATTGGAGAACCATGAATCAGTTATGAATTTTGAGAATATCAAGGGGGTGGCTCGCAACATGTATTTTGTTGACCACGCTCAGAGTGAGGTGAGTGAGCGATTTTTTATATGAGCTCTCTTAGGTTAACAGTTACGCTAATAAAAAAAATGTATTTATTTTGAGCGTGTGACAAAGGAAACATGTGCTCAAAACAATGATGTCAAAATATCGAGAGGAATTGGAGCACTATTATAAATATGCAAATAGTGGCAATTTAAATGGGATTTAAAATAGAATACTTTATCTGTATAGGTGTATATGTCTCATCAGAAAAATTAAAACATCGGTTCGCTGGATTTAACCCCTCTACTGAATTTGACAACGAGGATATATCTCTCAGGCGTCTGAGGCCGGCGTCATGTCATAGTTCCATCTCACTCTCTTACTGCTGAAGAATCAAGGTTCATTAAGCGCCTGAAGGGAGCGTTTGACATACTGATTTTTTATGGTTATTTATCATTCACCCATTCTTTTCTTTTTACGCAGGATTTTTTGGAGGAGGGAAGGAGCAGGTCAAATGAACACGAAGCCAAATTCCTTGCTGCCCTTTGTCGCTATTTTATTCTTCAAGGCTACGAAAGAGAGAAGATCACAGTCCTTACAGCCTACACTGGGCAGCTAATACAGCTCAAAAAAGAAATGCCCAAAGATTTTTTCCGTGGAGTTCGAGTCTGCGCAGTGGATAACTTCCAAGGAGAAGAAAACGACATCATTCTTCTATCTCTCGTTCGAAGCAACGAAGAAGGTAAAATCGGTTTCCTGCAGACAGAAAATAGAGTTTGTGTGGCGCTCTCACGGGCAAAGAAAGGGTTTTTCTGCATTGGTAACATCAGTCTTTTAGAAACAAAGAGTCAATTATGGAAAGACATAATTAACGACATGCGTCAGCGCGACAATGTGGGAGATGCTTTGCTACTTACGTGCCAGAACCATCCCCAAAACGTGATACAAGCATCACGCGCTGAGGACTTCAAGAAAGCACCAGAGGGAGGCTGCACTGTTCCATGCTCTGCAAGACTCGAGTGTGGTCACGTGTGCGAGATGGTCTGTCATCCAACAGACCCAGAGCACAAAGAATACCAGTGTAAAAAGCCATGTGCTAAGACTATCTGTCGTCGGGATCACAAGTGTCGCAGGAGATGCTATCAAGATTGCGGGCCTTGCATGGAGCTTGTGATGAAACGTCTACCATGCGGTCACGCCCAGAAGGTACCTTGCTCCAAAAGTCGTTCTGAGGCTCAGTGCCAGTCACCTTGTTCCAAGTTTCTGCCCTGTGGCCATAAATGCGCCAATAAGTGCTGTGAAGAGTGTACTGAGAAGTGCACCGTCATTACTAAGAAAAAATGGGCGTGTGGACATGAAAACAGAGTCGAGTGCCATGTGAATCCACGGTACAGTCCATGTAAGGCACCTTGTGGTGTGACTTTAAACTGCGAACACCCTTGTGGTGGTAAGTGTGAGTTCTACATACTTTTATACCCGTTGGGAAGGCGGGTATTTTTTAAAGTCAAGTCAGAATTAAGAGGTTTTATTTTCAAGTCTTTCTGAAACATGGCCTAAATATTTTGAATACCCATGCTGATGAAACTTACTAAAAAGAAAACGTTTAAGGGTAAAATTTAAATGTTTATCTCTATATTTTCGGACTTGGAATTGAAAAGAAATAAAATGATTACTGAGGGAGTTAAAACGGGTTTAAGACTGATGAAAGAATATGGAAAATTATGAAACAATTTGAAATGGAGAATTTATATTATATGCTTAGTCCCGGTAACAATCCTCCAATTTGAAATTTGAAGACAGAAGTATTGTTTTAAGTTCTTACCCAACGTTTTCACATTCTGTGCAGGTAATTGCAGTGATTGTTTACGCGGTCGAGTTCACCAACCTTGTAAGACATTGTGTGGCCGCACACTGTTTTGCGGACATAACTGCTCTGAACCCTGCACCAAGAACTGTCCGCCATGCAAGGAAAAGTGTGGTAACGGCTGCAAACACAGCAAATGCAAGAAGAAATGTGGCGACCCCTGCGAACCATGTAACGAGATTTGCGTTTGGCAGTGCCGTCATTACAGGTGCACGAAATTATGCGGCGAGTTGTGTGATCGCCCTCGATGCAATAAGCCATGTCCAGAGCTCCTTCGATGCCGTCATCCTTGCATTGGTCTCTGTGGGGAACCATGTCCAAAGAAGTGCCGAGAGTGTCATAAGGACGAAGTCACAGAAATCTTTTTCGGTACCGAAGACGAACCAGACGCTCGATTTGTTGAACTGGCGGACTGTGGTCACGTGTTCGAAGTGAAAATGATGGATCAATGGATGGATCAAGCCGACGTCGCGCAGGATGGGAAGCCTGTTGACGTTCAACTTAAGCTGTGCCCAAAGTGCAGGGTTCCGATTCGTACCAGTTTGAGGTATGGCAACATTGTCAAGAAGATACTCGCGGACTTCGAAAAAATAAAACAGAAAATTTTACTCAGTAAACGGCAGCGGGAACTTAAAGTATCGATTCCTAGAGCAAATGTGCAGAAGATTCATCAGTTCCCTGAAGACCGGGACAAAATTGCAAAATACCTCGCCTTTAAGACTCTGACGGATGAACAAGTGAATGTGTTTGAGAATCAGATCAACTTGTTGATATTCCTTCAAACTCTTAAAGATAACATCGAAAAAGGACTAGAGGCGGAAGAGGGGAGAGCGAACAGACATTTATCGAGCTATCCCTTGTCAAAAACGAAGGAAGAATTAGACGGTGTCATCGATAAGCTCCGAAACCGCGTGATGAAGACTCGGGTTCGCTTTAGCGACCAGGAACTGGAAGAGCTCAACGAAGAAATGTACAGGACACAGCTTCTTATCGACTTCAAAATGCTTAAAATGCAGCTTAACAACCGGGGCAAAACATTAGGACCAACCGACACCACAGAACTAAGTTATATCGAAAGAGCATTGGATTCTGAAAAGAAAATTGGTAAGGACATAGAAAGAGAATTCAAATTTTGGAACGATTTCATGTCTCTCTGAAATCTCAAACCTTTTTCTTTGCCTCTTACACTGAAATTTGGGAAAGATGGTAGAAGTGTGAAGCATTTTCTTGAATGGTAGACTAGCGCTTCAAGTTTCAAAGCATAATGGCCAAAACAGGGTAATTTAGTGTTATCAACTAAGTTGATAACGTAAATTGGCCACCGTAAAGAGTTGACGTTTCGAACTATTGGTGGGAATGTGGTGACGAGAAAACAAGAATGAATTAGTCGAATGAAAAGAGCTCGTCGATACCATGGGGATTAAGAGTACCGATTTGGAAGATAAATTTTTGTTCCAAAAATTTCAAAAATTTCAACATTTTGACATTTTTCGCGACTTTAATTTCCTCAGCCAAAACAAACTTATTTTCACTATGGATATTACATCTCTTTATACAGTCATTCCCAATGAGGAAGGTCTCCGGGCCCTCAAACATCTTCTCGATCAACGCACTGTTAAGGAACCTAGCTCTGAAACACTACTCCGTCTAGCCGAACTGGTACTTCTCATTCGGTGGCAACTACTACAAACAACCTAATGGCGTAGCCATGGGTACTGAAACGGGACCCAGCTACGCCAATCTTCTCGTAGGTATTATCGAAACCAAGTTTTTATTCAATACCACGGCCACAAACCTGAACTCTCCGGCCGCTACATTGACGACTACATCGGCGCTACCTCCTCTACCAGAGAGGAGCTCATTCAATTCACCAACGTCGCCAATTCCTTTCACCCGGCTCTTAAATATACCTGGGAAATTTCCGACACTTCTTTGGCTTTTATAGACATCAAAATTTCATGCACTAGTGTTTACTACAAACCTACAGATTCACATAGTTACTTGTTGTATTCATCTTCGTATCATCACGCGTCAAGAATTCAATACCTTTTTCACAGTTTCTCAGACTTCGTCGTGTATGTAGCGACGACTCTGATTTTCCAAAAAATCAGAGGTAATGTGCCAGTTTTTCGGTAAACGTGGCTATCCTGTTTCTGTCGTTCAAGCGGGTTACCACCGTGGCCAACAAATTGATCGACAGTCTGCACTACAAACGGCTGAGAAGGAAAACACTGATCGCATTCCATTCACTGTCACATTCCACCCTCATAACCACGCAGTTAAATCTATCATTCTCAAAAACTTTAAATTACTCCAAAACGTTTCAGAGACTGGTACTATCTTCTCGCAACCTCCACTAATTTCATTCAAACGTGACCAAAACATAAGCAACTTTTTGGTCAGGAGTTCATTTCAAACCAATGACCAACCTGAAACTTTCAAATGCGCTCGCTCACGATGCAAAACCTTTTCTTTCACTCATAACGTAAAGCAAATTTCGGGACCCAAGAGATCCATTAAGATCACTGATTACTGCCCAACATGCACTTGTTGCAAAAAGTTATACATTGGTGAAACAGGAAGACGACTAGCTGACCGATTCCAAGAACATCTTCGCAACGTGGAAAGAAATGACAAGGACACATTCAAACCAGTCGCTAGATACTTTAATCTCCCTAATCATTCAAAGCAGCATATGGCAATTTGCGGCTTTTCCCTACATCTAGGCAGTTCGGAAAGCCGCAAAACTATAGAACAAAAATTTATCTTCCAAATGGGCATTCTTAATCCCCACGATATCGACGAGGGCTTTTCATTCAACTAATTTATTCTTGTTTTCTCGTCACAACGTAAAAGCCTTGCACCATTTCAAACAAGCTTATTTACCGGGCTGAAAAACTTTGCCCACTGAGCATTTTTCCTTCCCAAACTCCGTAAAATATTGACTGGACGCTGCTCATGGGACAACACAGAAAAGAGGAAATGGGGTAGCCACGAAAGTATGATTTGTAGTTTGAGTGACTTAATTGCCCATTTGACCACAGTTGTACTTTCCCAGAAACTTTAGCGAGGATGAGTTTTCTTTCCATTCGCTTCTTTTCTTACATAACACGAAAACTATTGCTAAGTTTTTTGTTCAAATACGGTAATGGGAGTGGATGAAAAATTAAAAGAAAACTACTTAACCGACCTTTTTCAGAACAAAGGTATCGAGAGGTATATATGTCTCGAATCAAACGGATCAGACGCAGCCAAAATCTCGATGTTTACTACCAGACGGTTACAAGAGAAGAAAAAGATCTGATTGTGAAGGCCATGGGAATGGCACAGGGACACTGGTTCAAGTGTCCAAATGGTGAGTTTGAACGACACAATTTTAGCCCTATGAACTTTCCTTGAAATTTTCTTAATCTTCGTGGGAAACCTTAATGGGAGACATGGAATAATTTCTCAGGTTGTTTCTTTTGATCACAGCTAAATTTTGAACAGAGGAAGGGCTGAAAAGAAGTGAACATTAAGTCATTCCTTCTTAATTTTCTCACGTGGGCAGATTGATAGATGAAAAAGACTTGGCCATAAATTTATTTTGTAAGGAACCGAATGGTGACCAAGCTTCCAAAGGGAGACGTCATCAGTGCACCAGGCGCGTAAGGCGTCCAATCGGTTTCTTCAGATCACAAGATACGGAAACTCGTAACATCTAAAATACTTTTCTTTAAACTCCTCTTTTTGTTTCGCTTATTCTTTAAGGTCACATTTACTGCATTACAGAATGTGGTGGAGCAATGGAAGAGGGCAAGTGTCCAGAATGCGGCTCGAGAATCGGAGGCCATAATCATGAGCTGCGATCTGATAATCAGTTAGCTAGGGACATGGATGGGGCACGATATGCAGCCTTCTCTAACATGGCTAACATTCAAAACTTTGATCCTCACGACTTTATGTAGATTAGAACTTTTAAGTGTTATTTTTGCGGATTAATTTAACCCTTCTTTTAAAGGTTATTTTCCTTTGTTATTGACGGATATTTAAGTGAGGGATAGTGAAATTTGCTAAACTACGGGTGAAATTGATCCATTAATCCCAACATAGCGTTTGAAAAAGGAAATGATCTAATGCGCCAAATGGTTACAACTCAAATTTGTGGGAATCTTGCAGTCAGGTACCAATGAAGATGGATAGAGCCTTTACCTTCGACCCTCATATAGTCAGGCAGTAAATCGAAAAGTTTGTTGTTCTAGGTTTTCATCAGTTTCTAGGAAGAATTTATTATTGTTCATAAGGAATAAGTCACCATGAGTTTTAGACGAAAAGAAAAACAAAGAATTAATTGAAATAGCTTCTGCCCAAGTGAAAGCTCCCTAATGTCGGATTTCCAATTTGGTTTATTGCCTGAGACACATTGTATCAAATATTGCGTTAACAAGTCCGGGCTTTGATTGCTCTCAATTAAAGGGATTTGATTTCACATAGGCCGAGGGCGGTACTCAAGACACAGGGCACAATTTTTCCCAATACGGACTGACCTAGGCTGGTAAATAACATTTTTATTTTTTTCAGTAAACTTTACGAAATTCTTTCCAAAAGAACCCGAATGATGTAGGGCTGTAATTGCGGCAAGATCTTCCATAAACTTAACAATTTTTGACCGAGTAAATGGTACTTAAAATAGAGGTTATGCAAATTGAAGAGAGAAGCTTCACCAAAACATTTTCATTTGCGTAATAATAAAGGTGATTTAAAAGGCTTCCAAACAAACTTTAAACATTATTTTCACAAGTATCTGTCACAAACTGACACCTGTCTATTTGAGAGCCCGTAAGAATAAAAAGTGCATGTGCACTTTTGGAAAAACAACGGAACTAGTTCGGTAAGGATTGTCAAGACAATGTTTTCTTCAAAAACGATTAATTAATATGCGAAGATTTACCACTGATCAGAAAGTAAATGGCGTAGAATGTAATTGTAAGTATAGTCAAATTACTTAGTTTGAAGTTGTGAGAGTTTGCTCTTTTGTTTGCTGCAATGGCGTGTGTAAATTTGGTCTTTCCTCCACAAAAACTTAATTCGAATGAGACATTTCAACTAGACACAAGAGAATTTAATGCGTCTTTTTCTCACTGAATTCCTTCAGTTTCTGTTGTGCAATTTACGGTACAAATGTTCAAATTGAGAGGACTTGGAAAGACTTACCAAAAGCGTATTTGAAGTAGAACTGAAAACCTCGCTCGCCTTTTCACTACAAATAAATTTTTTGAGAGAATTCAGATATTAAATGAAGGAATGTTCCATCTCTTAACTCAATTGTAACCAAATACCTCACGTTTTAACTTTCTATGTTCTTTTTGTGAAGGATTAAAATTAACTACAGACGGTTTTTAGGCCAATTTAATGACACTTTTGCTTATACACATTCATTTTGAAACCAGTATTTTTCTGTTAACCAAAGTGATTTGAGAGAGAGAGAAAAGAGAGGATTAAGAAGTTATTTATCGGCTTGAGATAGTGACCGACGTCTTTGCTTAAAAATACTGCCCGGCTAGCCGGAAAAACAAGATAAATTTATGAAAAATGGCAGCGAAGATAAGGATATATTCGGCGACTCAAGAAAGCGTTGCCATGCCGTGGGCAGAGATAGGACCGCGCTAAGAACCGGACCGCGCTAAGAACCGATAACATTGTAGGATTCGTTACCGTGCCCACTGAGAAAAAATAAACTATTTTATTAAGGAGAAAAACTGATTTACAGAGCTACGTATGATGCGGCAGATTCAAGTCGTACATACCATAACACGAAAAAAACCTGTTCTCTGATAGGAACAATTTTGGTTAGAAGCAAACATCGAAGCTGTGGTCAAAGAGACCTATAATTGACGTAAGGTAACTATGTTTATTCAATTTCCTGTCTATACACCGTAATCAGAGCAATTTTTAAAACGCCGATTATATTAAAATATTTATAACCTGAATTAGGTCTGGCCGAACGTGGAAATATTTGGCTATTGGTTATAGCGCATGGAACTCACCACGCTCGGTGCGTACGTCATGAACTTGAGCCAAGTATTTTCCTGTCCGGCTCTACCACTCAGATATTGAGTCAATTTCCTCTCCGCTATCCCCCTTTCCCTATTAGTGTCTACCTAATATGTAGTGTTTGTCTACTGAAAACCTCTAAAACAGGTTCATAATTGCACACGGTATCGTATTTGGCCGAATTCCATCCATTTAATCTGTCATGTCTCATCTCCATTTCTCCACGGCGTTGCTGTAACTGGTCTGCAAACATAATCAAGTGGCTACCACTACTCCTGAAATAGCATTGGAACTCCCGTTTTATTTCAACATTGAAACCCTTCAGAGTCAAAGTTTAACTAAAAGCTCGGTTCAGGCTCTCCATCAGCGGAAGTAACCTCATAATTCCCTATTTCCCGGAAGAAAGCTTTCGCTTTCTAAGAAATTTTGCTGCATTTTAATTGGCTCTCGTTTAGTCGCTCCTATAGCGATAGTTCTATATCTGTGCTCTGGAAAAATCGTATGAGGAAGTTTATCATGTAACAGTGATATGTGACGATTGAACAAAAACCAAGCTGTCGTGTAATCCTTCACAAAAGTCGTGGCTTGCCTATGTTTGTTGGCTTCGTCTAGCATTTGAGGTAATGCGGAGCTAAAACGTATACGCAAATATTCAAGTATCCGAATGTAATATTGCAATCAAAATATCTAGAGTATCTGAGCCGGCATTACGAAATTCATTACATAGTTTATATCTAGATCTCACTTCGCTAACTTGAACCTTATCTATCAGTGTCGAATCAGAGTGTAAAGAGTAGAGAGAGAGTTACTTATACATACAATAGAAGTTATCGGCAATCTCAAACTTAGCTACCACTATCTCGCAGGGGATCAATTGCATAGAAATTCAAGACTTAGTTTGCATAGACTGTTAACAAAGCGCTACCTGTGCCACCTCTAGCAAATACATACAATGTGCAGCACCTTTTATCCGATAGAGAGTGGAAAAAGGTCGGCGAAATAATCAGTTTGCCATTGCTGTAAAGAGCTTTAGGTTGGCCTTCGTGCATATTTAATTATATTCTTTAGAGTAACAATGTGTATGATGTGTATGACGGATTTAAAATATATGAAATGTATGACTTGTGACCAAATTTTCGAAAGTTAACAAGTTCGCTCGAGTCTTGAAAATTGGAATGGCTTGACGTTAGGCCGGTCATGATGATGAGAACACTCCATCCAAGCCGGAAATAAAGAAATATGCAAAACATCTTGTTATGATCTTCTTGAAGTGAGCGTCAAATTTGCTCGAAATTTGTAAACTGATCCTACGAGTGAATATCTACGGGATAACTCGGTTTTATGAGCTAAGATCAGGAACTGTCATCAGGAATCGACATCAGGAACTGTCCGGAACAGTTTCGCTGACAAATCGTCGAACGAAATCCCATTTTTATTTAATTATTTTTATACAAAAGTTAATATGGCGCGTGTCCAATCGAGTGGTTGAGTGAAATTTTGCTAACCGTCGCTTTAGGATTCGTTCTTAGAACGGAATACGGATATCTCATGATGTGGGTGTCCATTTTCAACATGTAACTATCTGACACGTGGCAGTAATCACATATGTCATTGATAATCCAGAATGCTTTTGTACTGATCTGGTTTTAATCCATTAACTCCTATGAGTGACTAAGACAGAATTTCTCCTCACAATATCAATATAATATCAACCAAATAACTTATGAGATTAAAGAAAAATATCAATTTGGGGATAACTAGTTGATGCAATACTAAATTATCTGAACGAACGTTATAAGAATTGTATTGTTGATAGTGAGGAGAATTACACAATTGATCTGGGAGTTAAAGGGTTAAAACAATGACTTTCGTGCGTTCTGTTGTTAACATTATAACTGATTACCATGGCTTGATTTGTCCTTTGCATGTAGAACTATTATCGTCGGTCTTTCGGAATTTTTGGTTGTCGAATAAGGAGAGATTTAAAAGTTCCGCAAAAGGTTTGGTAGCAGAGACCTTCTGATTTCATAGTTGGAAGGCATATGTGAAATTCACTTTTTAACTGAGTGATCTTCCTCTTATTTTTGTCAGAAACATCCTAATGGAGCAAACCAGGGAAATTTGGAAAGGACGAGGAGATCGCAGAGGGAGACGAAACGGAGGTTGGAGAAGTGGTTGGCGTGGCAGTGGTAGAGGTGGTGGCAGGGGCGTTAGAGGAAAAGCTGGTGGAGCCATCGGAAATAGCATAGGGCCGGAAGGTACATTGGATGTTAAAAGAGAAGCTGGAGAGGTGGCTGGTAGTAGTTTGCCCGGTGGGAAAGGAAGAGGGAGTTGGAAAGACTGTAAGCGAGGTGGTCGGGCAGGTTTTGGAAGGGGTGGAGGAGGAAGAGGAAGTTGGAGAGGTGGTTGGAAGAGTACTGCTACAAATGGTGAAAGGGGTGATGGAAGAAGGGCTGGAGGAGACACTGGAAGCATTCAGTCTCAGGGACAATTAAAACTCAAGGACCTCCAGAATCTGAAGAACAAAAGCCCAGACGACATTGTTCTCCATTTGACATCAGAAAGTTGCTTTCGTTCCACCGAATACTTAGTTAAAGAGCAGTCAACAATCACAGACGACAGCATTGTTTTATTAGTAAACATTTTCACGAAAGCTTGCACTAGCAAAAGCAGGGATGATCTTTATAAACTACTAAGTCTATTACCGGGGTCTTTGTTTCTCAATTTGCACCTGAGGCGCAACCTGAACAGGCTCTTTGTGGATCCAATCCCGCCTTTTGATGTGGTTGCGTATTTAAGGAACGTTGAGCAAATGATGAACGAATTGCTTCGAAGATTTCCAAATTCTCACTCTGATCTTCCTCTGTCAGACCTGTATTGTGCGATCAGGTTGGCGTTCGATTCGGGGCAGTTGGAAGATGAAGCACTCGTGAAAGGGGTGGATAAAATGATGCAAATGCGAATCGAAAAAGCTGAGGAGTTGAAGAGGAAAGAAGAAGAGGAAAAGCAAAGGAAAATGAAACCACGGAGAATTGGTAAGAATCTTTCATTCTTTTTAAACATTCATAAATAATCTTTGCCCTTTATAATTGTACGTTTTTGTTATCAAACAAATCTTTCTCGCTCTCTTAGCCGAAGACAATGATGACGTCAGTCCGCCCGAAAACTTCCGATGTCTTAGTGTTGTTCCTACTCAGGAGGACATCTTGACAAGAGGAAGGCCTTTTATCAGAAAAAACAAAGTTAGTGGTGCCTATAAAGACGCGGAACACTATTTAGACGTACAGTTTCGACTCTTACGAGAGGATTTTCAGCGGCCTCTTCGTGAGGGGATCACAGAGTTTTTGGAGCGTTCTTGCTCCCACAAGATTGGTGCCTTACAGGACATACATGTTTACAATGGTGTTCGCTTACTGTACCCTGTATTCACTTCCCGCGGTATCCGTTGCAAGGTCGAATTTGACAACTCTAAGCTCAAAAAAGTACGGTGGGAAAACAGTAAACGGCTTATCTTCGGCTCGTTGTTGTGTTTGTCCTCAGATCACTTTGAAAATATTGTGTTTGCAACGGTGGCCAACAGGGAGCTCTCAGAGATAAGACGAGTAAGTTGAACTTAGTGGATAAAAAATGAATGAACATTACGTGGTAATTTCCCACTCCTTTTCTCTTTTTTTTTGGCAAAGTCTCCGCCATTATTGCCCTTCCGCGAACATTTCTGTTGTTTT